TTGCATAAAAAATTTCAAAGCAACGACTAACTCGGGATGCGAAAATCACGTCGCAGGTCGTGACGTCACACATGACCACGTGAGAGTGAAAACGAGAAGTATTAAGTATGGGAAGCCGTTGGTATAAACCAATGGCTTCTGTTATCAATTAATGGCATTTAAGAATATTTGTGGAGATTTCATAGTTTCTTTTGTTCAGGTTAGGTTATTGTTTCGTCCGTGTATTGCTTGATATATTGAAATGTAATTGTCATCTTTGATAATGGCTTATGTAAGCCGAAAGCTTTGATTTGATTTAAACATGTATCAATATGGTGATTTCCTTTCGTCTTTCAATGATAATGTTACTAAGCTTATCAGACAATATGAAAGAAACTTACTTAAAATAGACAAAACTTGTCTATATTATTTAATGAAACATGCATCAATGAAAAATTGCTCCCTAAATATACACAATATATATATATATATATATATATATATATATATATATATATATATAGATAGATAGATAGATAGATAGAATATAATAATAGCTATCCACTCGTATATGAGGATGCCCGTCTACTAAGGAGACTAGCCAATCCTTATTACAGACACTCGCTCAGGCATATTTTATGTTTCCTCAACACCAGCAGAAGCCACCTGTGGTTTAATCTGCAACTATGTTGAGCAGAACCTTAGTTACAGTTTCTGAGAGAGAGCGTGTTATCTTGCGTGATCAAGAATTTGAACAAGGCCAGCACGTTCAAAACCTCGGTCACGATGACTTGTGACTTCGTGCAAGTACAGCTATCGACGACCCTCAAGAGTTCCATCGAGCCAATTTCACTCAACCCGTAGTACGGTTTTCCAAAGCTACCTGACAAATCGACCATAGGGAGATGCGAACCCGGGTCTCATATATCTCGGCTATATATATATATATATATATATATATATATATATATATTAAACAATAGACATGAGTTAACGGTTTTTTGCCGACATTATCAAATTTTTGCATTGAATAATTAGCATAAAAACAAACAAACAATAAAATAATTTTTAAATTCCATAGTCCTAATAAATAGTTTAAATGCCCTACAAAAAAAGATAATCCTTTATGAAGTCGTCACAAAACAAATGTTAGCGATTTACGACAGTTTTTATATACCCAAAACCCTTTCGAAAAAAATAAAAAAATAAAAAAATCTCCATAGCCACTTAACCAGACTAGGCGATGTCATCTTCCACTTTAAATACAGACACCCCAACCTTACCGTGACTTGACATCTGTTGAATGCAACTGAGATATTGATACAAATTATTAACACCTTACGCCCCTTTTTCTTTAAACAATTGCTCTAGCCGTTACCATAGAAATTTTGATTTCAATAATGAATATGCTTATAAAACATGTAAATTTCAGAAATAAGTTATTCCAAAAAATGTTCGCTTGAAGATGGAACAGAGCTTAGTACTTTAATTCAATTTAATTCAAATAATTATATTGAAGTTTTCGGCTCTTGTTTTGAAACATGGGAACTCTTATGTAGCGTGTTGGAATCATATTTTAAATAAATAATTATATATATATATATATATATATATATATATATATATATATATATTGATTCTCGGTAAGAACTTTTTTGATATGAATTGATACAGATTTCGAAGAAGCGAATATTTGGGAGAATTCGTGCGTATACAAAATCGTAATTCTTTAAGGTAACATATAGACATACTCATGCAAATGCATCTATTCATATGTGTGTGTGTTTCTCAAGACTTGTGTGTCGGAATTCAAATATATTCATTGTATATTTTTCTTTTCTTCTTTTTTTTTATCGCTGACCCAGTTCGTGCGCTGCCGTTCATGGTGGGTTGGAGAGAGGTTGAAAAGAAATGAGTGCTGTACCTGACGCAAATCTGAAAAGGAATGTCGTCGATCAGTGGAAAATCGTGACAACATTTGACCCCGTCATTTAATAACCCATCTGTGTTCTTTCTAAATAGTCAAAGCGTTTTTTTGTTTTGTTTTTTTTGTTATTTTTTTGATTATGTTTTTCTATTATTAAAGGAGAAATAGGCAGGAAGACATTTGCTCCTCCAGATTTAGCAAGGTTACATTAAGGATTGCATATTACGGGCCGAAAATGAATGAAAGAAAGAAAGAAAGAAAGAAAGAAAGAAAGAAAGAAAGAAAGAAAAAGTAATGAAAATGGGTCAAACAAATTTTATAGAGAATTAACAAAAGAAAATGAATGAAACAATTATAAAAAGAAAGAAAGAAAAAAGAAAGACATAAGAACGAATTTAGCGAGAGAAGAAAAAAAGAAAAATGAATGAACCATCAATAAAATAAATAAATAAAGAAAGAAAGAAAGAAGTGCTATCATTATTTGCATAATTTATATTCGGATTATTGTCCTCGTCATTGGGACAATGGCGTATTGGCCAATAGTCCGAATATAAATTGTGTAAAGAAAGAAAGAAAGAAGGAAAGATAGGACGATGTAAAAGGAAGAAAGGACGAAAAGAAAGAAAGAAAGAAAGAAAGAAAGAAAGAAAGAAAGAAAGGACGATGTAAAAGGAAGAAAGGACGAAAAGAAAGAAAGAAAGAAAGGACGATGTAAAAGGAAGAAAGGACGAAAAGAAAGAAAGAAAGAAGGAAAGAAAGAAAGGACGATGTAAAAGGAAGAAAGGAGGAAAAGAAAAAAAAAAAAGAAAGAAAGAAAGAAAGGACGATGTAAAAGGAAGAAAGGACGAAAAGAAAGAAAGGACGAAAAGAAAGAAAGAAAGAAAGAAAGGACGATGTAAAAGGAAGAAAGGACGAAAAGAAAGAAAGAAAGGACGATGTAAAAGGAAGAAAGGACGAAAAGAAAGAAAGAAAGAAGGAAAGATAGGACGATGTAAAAGGAAGAAAGGACGAAAAGAAAGAAAGAAAGAAAGAAAGAAAGATAGGACGATGTAAAATGAAGAAATGACGACGACAAAAAACAAATAAAAGAAAAGAAAGAAAAAGAGAAAATGAATAAAATAAATGATATATGAAGGAAAAAGAGGAAAAAGTAAAGAAACACAGAGTGAAAGAAAAACAAAGCAACCAATTTTTTTCCATGATATTCACCCTGTCCCACAAGGACGCAGAGTCGCTTTAGGACTGCATCGAGAATAGAAAGAAGACTGGGCATCTCCCGCCCTTGGATAATTTAAAGAATAACCGACATTAATATGCGACCGATCCCCTTGTAATGACAAAGAAGGGAGGCGACTATATTCAGGATTAGATTTGAACATCTGAAGCATCTCTGTTCGTTTTGTTATAATTTGTATCATAGACTTATATGCCATATAAGTGATACACGCTTAGGCGATCATGTATCTTTCGATACATAGATAGCGATAGGGCAGCAAGAGGCTTGTGACGTCTCGTCTGTGAGAAAGGGGTTGCAGAGTGGGAAATAATTCATCACCCACAAGGACGCGGAGACGCTTTTGTACTGTATCGAGAGTGGAAAATGAAGATTGTATCAGTCAGTTATATGCTTAGGCGATCATGTTTCTTTCATAGTAGGTTAGCATTTCTTTCTGCGGTAGACCAGTTGCCATCCAAGCTGCTCGAGTGGGACTTACATCTGACCAATGGAATACGAAGGTAATGAAGGTGGTTCGCTACGATGTGAACAGCATGGCGGGTCTTAATTGCGCAGCTTAGAACTGGTGGGACTAAGGTGTGTAGTTCATCTGAAAAACACTCTATGGAAATAACGATATGCTCTATTGTAGAGGCTTGGGACGTCTCGTCTGTGAGAAAGGGGGTTCGGAGGGGAAAATAATTCATCACCCACAAGGACGCGGAGACGCTTTATGACTGTATCGAGAGTGGAAAGTGAAGACTGGGTAATTCCCACCCTTGATTAATTTAAAGAATAAACGACTTTGTGACCGATCCCCTTGTAATGACAAAGAAGGGAGTCGACTATATTCAGGACTAGATTTGAACATATAAAGCATCTCTGCTCGTTTTGTCATGATCTGTATCAGTTATATGCTTAGGCGATCATGTATCTTTGGATACATGACTGACGAGGCAGATTTTTCCCGCAGTAGGTTGCCATTTCTTTCTGCGGTATACCAGTTTTCATCCAATGCTATAGAACCCCGTCTCTCCTGCTATTTACCCATAGGTGGGGGGGTGGAGAAGAGGATTCATACCTTTCCCAAGGGTATTAGCACGTAAGTAAATGCAATGGATGCGACTGGAATTCGAACTCTGTTCTCTGATTCCACAATCCGAGCCGTTATCCATTATTCTACCGTGCATGATTTGTATACTTTCATTTTTCTTCATTTTCGGCGGCTTTATTCCATATCCAAGAATTTAATTTCTTCTTTTTTCATCGCCTCCTTTATGATGATGGCGTTAATATCTACGTGAACCAATATGGAAGAGCCGATGGTATTCACTAGAATTAATGTTGGTAGATTCTATCGATACTGGAAATTGAAGACTGGGAAGCTCCTGTCCATATATGGCAGAGTAATCCATTTCGGCCGGATATGGCCTTTGTAAAGGCAGAGGAGAGCGGAGACGCTTTGGGGTTCCATCGAGACTGGATAGTGAAGACTGGGCAGCTCCTGTCCATATATGGCAGCAATACTCCATTTTCGGCCGGATATGGCTCTTGTAAAAGTAAACGAGGGTAGCAGGGCGGGGGGTGGATATTAACTGGAACGATACAATGAACCGATCATTTTTCCAGCATCTTTCGCGATTGAACTTGAGGTCTGGATGGAGCTTAGGTCCCAATAGGCGCTGAAGGCCCGGGACCCCTGAATGCAAATAATGATAACTCACCATACCAGAAATTCAGACAGAAAGGTGAAAAGAATTATAAAAAAATATGGAAATAATTATGAGAAAAGTAAAATTAAATAAGAAAGAAAGAAAGAATAAATCGTGTGTAACAAATTTTAAAAGCAAGTAAAAACAGAACAAAAATGAGATGAACCTATTTATAGAAAGAAAGAAAGAAAGAAAGAAAGAAAGAAAAGAAAAAAAAGAAAGAAAGAAAGAAAGAAAAAAAAAAAGAAAGAAAGAATAAATAAATAAATAAAGAAAAAAGAAAGAAAGAAAAAGAAAGAAAGAAAGAAAGAAAGAAAGAGAAAAAGAAAGAAAGAAAGAATAAATAAATAAATAAAGAAAGAAAGAAAGAAAGAAAGAAAGAAAGAAAGAAAGAAAGAAAGGAAGAAGTGTTATCATTATTTGCATAATTTATATTCGGATTATTGTCCTCGTCATTGGGACAATGGCGTATTGGCCAATCGTCCGAATATAAATTGTGTAAAGAAAGAAAGAAGAAAAGAAAGAAAGAAAGGACGAAAAGAAAGAAAGAAATATTGGATGATGTAAAAGTAAGAAAAGACGACAAGAAAGAAAGAAAGATAGGACGATGCAAAATGAAGAAATGACGACGACAAAGAAAGAAAGCAACAAAGAAAGAAAGAAAGAAAGAAAGAAAGAAAGAAAGAAAAAACGAAAGAAAGAAATAAAGAAGGAAAAAAAGAATGAAAGAACGATGCGAAAGAAAGACAGGGTGATGTACAAGTGAAGAAAAGACGAAGACAAAGAAAGAAAGCAACAAAGAAAGAAAGTATGGTCTGTGTAAAAGAAAGAAAAAAAGGTAAAAGAAAGAAGTGACGTTTTGACTGATTTAAACAGGGTTTAAATACATTAATTCACTTATAAAAATTGAATGTAAAATCGGACATTATTTTCCGAACAAATTAATATTAACGGTAGGTAAAAAAACAAAACAAACAAAAAACAAACAAAACAAAACCAGAAGTCTTTGTTGTTAGAGAAACTCAACCCAAATATTCTGAGCTATGTATCGAGGGCGTCGCAATAAAAACATGACAACCTACTATTTAACCCATAGCTAGAGGGAGAAGAGCTGGTTCCTGTACCAACACGAAAGTTAAGCATTGTCGAGCCTGGTCAATCGAGATGAGTGACCACTTTGGAATACCAGGTGCTGTAAGCTCGCATATACGAAAACCTTTTCACTTGTATATTGAATTGGAATATACGATTTAGTTAAAATACATCAGGAATTCAAAGAAAGCCAGAAAAAAAAAAACATTTTGATAACTGAATAATGATGCTATGAATAAAACTTTCGGCAAAAATATTCGTTGGAAACTTTTGCAATGCTTTATTAAAATATAATATACGCTTTTTTTTAATCATTTCGCCCCAAGCAAGGCTATAAAGCCACCAAGACGCAAGGTTTTGCAGTATTAGAGAATATGAGAAAAACACTATTAAGGAGAGAAAACAATAAAAGTGCAGGAATTAAGAAAACAGAAGATAACGATTGACGTTGCATTTAAATTATAAAATATCAAAGTTGACTGGGAAAGGGAATACCAGGTCCTATAAGCTTGGATGTGCGGGTGGTGTAATGGATAATGGCTTGCAATTGTTAATTGGAGAGCCGAGTTCCAATTCCACTAGGTTCTTTATATTCACTTACTCTTAAATAACATTGGGAAAGGTATCTACTTCTTCTCCCCCAGCTATGGGATAATTATTAAGGCTTGTATCACTAAATCATTATTATCTAAAAAAGAAAAGATTCTTACAAACTAAAAATATTTTCTGACTTTAAATAACCTGCAATAGGTTGATAATCCTTAAAAATCGAATCAATCAATTAAATCAGAAATTTGATCATAAATTGCGAATGTTTCTTAGTGAACATTTCAGAATATTTTTTCGACTTCCATAGCAAAAACTCTATGCGTAGATCAGGATAAAAATCATTTTTTGAATAGTAGAACAATTACGATTGAATAGTGTCTTTGATCCTCACTGGGTGCCCCATAATATCATCCTAGTGGCACATCTAGGCTATGCTTAATGGGCAGCCCGACGTGGTGTAATGGTTAGCAAGTTTGTCTTGCTAGAACAATTATGACTGAGTAGTGAGTTCGATCCTCACTGGGTGTTTCATACTTTCGACCTTGTGCCATGTCTAAGCTACGCTTAGAAAATATCTATTCATATTCGATGTGGTGTGATTGTTAACAAGCTTGTCATGCTAGAACAATTACGACTAAGTAGGTGCTTCATACTTTCGGCCTTGGGCCACAAAAAATCATTACGAGTTGATGTACTGGTTAACAAGCTTGCCATGCTAGAACAATTGCAACTGAGTAGTGTTGTCGATCGTCACTGGGTGCCCCATGATATCGAATGCTAGTTAAACGACCTATGTTTATGCGAACAGCTTTATTCAAGAAAAGGGCAATTTTTTGGAAACCCATGATCTGAGATTTGGGGCAATTACCTACTCTAGGATCACGAATATAGTTTCTTTCCCTCTTTGATATTAGCTACTCTATTTATCTGGCCTGATAGGAGAAGGGTTATTTGTTGTCTCTGATAAGCAGATAATGAAGGTGTGTCGAGTGATGGCAGTGACTGATGATTAAAATTAAGTCACC